TACACAATGGAGTTCTATTCAGCAATAAAGAAAGATGAAATAATGAAATTTGCAGGTAAATGGATGGATCTAGAAACTGTTATACTAAGCAAAGAAACACACTCAGAAAAAAAATGTATGTTCTCCCTCATTTATGGATCATAGCACCAAATCCTTTTAAATTCCAGGTCCTTTTAATAAGATGATGCTGTACAGCATTCCTTCTGCATGAAATAACCACCATCATCACATCTTCAGCTGTGCCTGATTGCTAAACATTGTCACATTTGGGCTTGTTGACAGTTGTGTTCCTTCATTAGAGGGGCAAGCAGGGTCACTGGACCCTCACCACATTAGCCAGCCACTCTTCCCAGCCAACAGTACGTAATTTGGCCCTAATCACACATGGTCTCCTGGATTTGGGGAGGGCTAAAGTATACAATCTGGAGAAGGCTAGGAAGAGAAGGCATGACCCATGTGGGGTAAAGGCTTTCCAATGTGCATCCCTCAAGTCGTTTATACACCTCAGCAACCCCTCAGTAATATCAGTAAGTAAGCTCAGTAAATTCATTGGTTCCCCGGTAAAACTTTATTCAAGCATTGGCTTGACACTAGAACCTTAAAAGGGAACAAGCATTGCTTAGTATCCCCAGGAAAGGAATTCTCACAGCAGATGGAAAATTTATTTGTTAATGCTATTATGTCTCATAATTATTTTTTAAAAAAAGAAAATGAGAATGTAAAAAAATTTAAAAGGATATGGGAATGGAGATATTTTCCAAAATAGAAAAAATGAGAAAGCCTAAGCAAGTGATGAGGGTCTTTGTAGGTTTGTGATGATATATAAAGGATGAGACAAAAATAATATACACATAATCTTAAAATTTCTAGCATCATAATTTAGTCAACTAGTTTAAGGAACAAAATACATATCTAGTCAAGGTTTATCTGAGAATATTTGGTTTTTTTACCCAAGCTTTATCTACATAGCACATGGCAATTAAAAGTACCAGACTGGTGGAACTAACCTTACTGGATGTCTAGCAGCCATACATTGAGGCCTATACTAATGTGGTCAGAGGAACTTAAAGGACAGTTTTTGCCCCTTGCCCTCCAAGGTTGACTAAGTTCCAGGGGACTATGGAACATCTCTTAAAATGTCCTGTAACTGTGGTAAGTCACCTATCCTCTTGTGCAGGGAAGCCATGGAGACCCCACGAGATAGACTTGAACCAGTGTCCAGTCTACAAGGAGGGTCAACTCAGAGGAAACATCGCATTCATGCTTCCAAGTGAAGCCAGCCATGGTCGAGAAGGACCTTTGACTTATCTTCACATAGATGGAACTGATAAAAGGAACCAGGGACTCCTCCCAAACCCACGTGACCCCTGAGGAACAGATCTTCAAACGACCTTAAGTGTAAAAATAAATTGATTTGGGCCAACTGTATGGCCTTAAACACCCAAAAGGAAATCCATAACCAAAGAGTAAGGTCATTAGTATATTAAGAGTTCAAGGAATTACACTTCCCAGACATTAGGATTATTTCTCCTTGATGATTTTGTTCCTAATCAGAAAGTGCTCCTCAGATGTAAGACTTCAGATCTTGGTCTGTAATACTGTAGTGCCCACCTGTAGCTAAGGGAGACAACAATTGTTCCAAAATGGTGGATAAATTTGTTTTCTCCCCCTATCTAGAAGCCTTTGAGAGGGACTGATTCTAGCCACTCCAACAGCTATCAAAATACCTGAAAGCAAATCCTGTACTCATCACTCTGGAGTCCAGCCTTGGCAGACAAAAGAAAAATGAGGAGGAACCCAATAGAGGGATGATTTTGGAAGCCCTTGTTAAGAAATTCCAATGGACATATGGACATAGTCTCATATGAACATTTGAAAATTGCCCTGTTCTTTTTTCTAGTTCCCTGTCTAGAACTCGTAATGCTAATGCCTCTTGCCTTTAGTTCTCCTTCACATCTCCTATTCACCAGTCAAGGACTTTCTTTTCACCTACAGATAAGTTATGCAATTTGGGAGTCTTTTAGACAGACCCCATGAAGGGGTACTCCAGTTGCCTCATCCTGCATCCCTGATCAGCATGGAAGCCAGAGCGGTCGGTGTCCAGATTCCCTATCCACAAGTTGGGTAACCTCTTCAGAGGATGGTGTAATAAGAATAGGAGGTAGGAATTGGCTAGACAGGGTAAAAAGACCCCAAAGAAATGTAGTCAGTTTCATGGCTAAAAGTCACAATGTCCTTGGGCCTCTTAGCAATATACTCAGTCAAAAATGTCAAAAGTACTTGGGAGCTTTTATCAAATCCTTAAGATTTTAGGGTTACCGCTTCAGAGGGGGGACTGTTAAGAGTATCCAAAAGCCCCATAAAAAAAAGTAATAGAGTACATTAAGTTATCAGAAAAAAGTGATGGGAAGATATGGGAGTTGAAAGAGGGAGTGGCCATGGATTTGATCAAAACACCTTATATGCATGTATGAAATTCTCAATAAATTATTTAAATTAAAAAAAAGAAAAAAGAAAAATTGCTTAGGGTCTGGAGAGATGACTTAGTTAACACCAGTTGCTCTTGCAGAGGACCTGTCCAGTTCCAGAGGATCTGATGCCCTCTTTTGGCCTCCATGGGCACTGCATAACACTTATATGCAGAAAACACTTCTACACATAAAAAATAAGAAGAGAAAAAAAAGAAATTGCTTCACCTGACACCACAGGCCTATAATCTCAGCTTCTCAGGAGGAAAAGGCAGGGAGGGGGACAATAAATTCAAGGCCCACCTGGATTAGAATAAATTCAAGACCAGCCTGGGCAATTTAATGAGACCCACCTAAAAATATAAAGAGGGCTAGGGACACAGCTCAGTGCAAGAGCATTGTCCAGCATGGGCAAAACCCATGGGCAAAATTTAAAAGTTGAGTATGGGCCAGTGAGATGGCTCAACAGGTAAAAGTGCTTGCCAGCAAGTCTGATGACCTGAGCTCAATCCCTGGAACCTACATGAAGGACCTTTATGTGCACACCAACCATGGTCCACATACCTACACACACTAAATAAATGTGGTTTTAAAAATCTGGGTATAGGAAGATTACAAAAACCCAACAAGCAGACAAAAGTTTAGCACTGAATATTCAAAATGCTAAGACTACTTTCTTTCAACGGTCATTCTGTTGTAAAGATATTCATTCTCCTCTTCTGTAAGGTGTCTGACATTCAGCACATCCTTTGCTTTTTTTTTTTTTTTTTTTTTTTTGATAGGGTCTATGTAGTTCAGGCTGGCTTCCAACTCAGAGATCTGCCTCCCTCTGCCTCCCAGGTGCTAGGATTAACGGTGTGCACCATACCTGGCTCATTTAATCCTGATGAAGTCCTATTTATCTAGTTTGTTACTTGTGCTTTTGGTGTCAAATCTAAGAATCCATCCCCAGACCCAAAGTAGTGATCCCCACATTTTCTTCTCATTAATTGCATAGTTTTCATCCTTCTGTACTGCTGACGCCTTCTGAGTGATGCAGTACATGAGACGAGGTGACAATCCGGCTCCGTTCTGCTGTGGTTATTATCCCCCACGTGCTTTCAGACTTTCAACAACCTTACCTTCCCTCTTGTCAAAATCCAACTGGTCATACAGGTCTGTACTGTTTTGATTACTGTAGCTTTGACAGCTAGACCTTAAGGTTCTTAGTTTCATGATTATGGCTATTCAGAGCCCTCTGCAGCATGCTAATTTGAAAATTAGCTCTCATTTCTGCTTAATATAATCCAAATTTTTAGAGATTGTACTGATTTGATTTTGGTGATACTGCTATCTTGTGTTCCAATCCATGAACATGTCTTTCCTCATTTTCTTTCAGAATTTTCCATTTTCAAGGTGTAAGCCTTTGACCTTGATTTGATTCTTAGCTATTCTTTTGGTTGCTATCCCAAGAGAAAGTCTTTCCTTTTCAGATCGATGCTAGTGTTCAAAGTTGACTGCATCTTGTATCCTGCAATTTTGCTAAATTCATTTACTGCTTACTAGCTGCTTTATGGATTCTTTGCAAGTATCTAGATATGACCCCTGTCAATTGCAAAGAAATAGTTTTTGTTTTCCTATCTACACCTTCTTACCTAACTGCCCTAGCTAGAACTTCCAGTACAATTTGGAATAACCCTCTTGTTATAGGAAAACCTTTCAGTCTTCCACTGTGAGCTGGGCTGTTATGCCCCCATCCCCTTTTGGCAGTGCTGGGGATCTAATCCAGCTTTGCGAATAAATTTCCCATTACTAAGCTACATCCCTAGCCCTCAATGAGGGATTTTCAGACTTTTAACATGTTTGCAAAGTTCCCTTTCTGTTCCTGGTTTCCTGAGTGTTTTATGAGCACAAAAGGATAATGAAATCTTACCCAATGTTCTCTGTATTACTGAGATGAGCCTACGGCTCTTTACTAGTGTGGTATGTTCCACTGCCTGATTTTATGAACTATCACTGCATTCCAAGAGAAACTCAACACCTCCATGGTATACCAACAAATTTTGTTGTTTTCATTTCTATCTCCACAGCTTTTAGAATTATCTCCTTCTATTTCTGTATCCTTGAAGCCTGATGTACTAAGTACTGCAGTGCTGCTCACTGACCACCTTACCAACTGAACAAACCGGGCAGAAGAAATCAATCCCAAAATTTAGTTAGGTTATAGTATCTATGTGTGTGTGTGATCCTGAGAAAGTTCCAATAGTAGTGGTCTCTCAAGAGGGTCTTCAATTTTAGTATTTGCTTCAAAAAGTACTGTCCATCCAAGGAATATACCCCTCACCAACAGCATATGCTTATTTCCACAAACTGATCTTTAAATTCAGTGAGCATAAAAGGCTCATTGTAGTTCCGATTTTTTATTTCTTAGTATGTAAGGTGCATAGTTGCATGTAAGAACAATGGGAAGCGGTTAAGACTAGGGTTAATTTCTCTTGACTATTATCACCCAATATATCAAAGGCTTTTCTGAAGACAAATGGATACATCAGGTGCATTTATAATATTCTCTTAAGAGTTTATTATAAACCAGTTTCGTAGGCCACAGAAAAATAGAAGGACTATGTACAGCCTTTCGGGGAACAGGCAAGGAGCTGAGGAGGGCCAAGATGAGTCTAGGGCCTTGGAGGGTGCATTCCTGGGGGAGGGGGCCCTGAAAGGGAAACCAGACAATCCGGTGAGACTCCTCGAACAACAGCATAACAAACAAACAGGTCTGTGGGAGCGTGGCCCTGGGGAATCGGGTCCACGCATCTGTGGAGCTACTTCCATAACTGTGGCCAACGATCAAAGCAGGCCTGAAGTAAGAGTAAGAAGTTCAGTCAGTGCCTGGTCTATATGAATCAAATCCCCAGCCCTTCTCCAGCCCTTTCCCAGCCTCCCATACCTTGTAGTTATCAAATGACTACAGGGACATAAAGATATGCGCTAAGTGGAGACATCCCTGGGCTTCACTCAGTTCCTATGCCTGGAAAAACTACAAATGCAAAACTCAAATAGAAATAAGACCAGTCACAAAATAGGGCTCAATCGTCACTATGATTTCACAGAAAGAACAGAGCTAGAAGTCAGGATGCTCTCTGGGCCTTTTTTGATCAATGTGAAATGTAACTCAGCATTTCTCAAACTAGAGAAATGCACGATAGCCCAGGAACACTCTTAATTACCAGAAACTATCAAACCAAAGGGTATCAGACAAATAAGCTATTATCAGAGACCTTTGGAACTCATTATTTCACATCTAAGGACAACACCTTAGACACTGAGAAATACAATGAGTACTCTGTACTATGAAGGGAGGTAGGCCAATTTAAGAAATGCTTATTCCCTCTTCTCTGTATTTTCTGGACATAGCTGTCCTCCAAGAGGACTACTCTAATTTCAAGACCTAAAAACCCAGAGGTCGGGTCTAAATCTAGTCTCCATTTCCCATCCCACTCCTAGACTCTTGGGAAGGAAGCCAAAGTCACTACTGCTGGCACTCACCTCGCATCCCTGGTGGAGGGGGCCGCATCCCAGGAGGGGGCATGCCCATTGGAGTTCCTCGGCCAGGGGGGATCCCCATTGGGGGGCCCATGGGAGGCCTCATGCCAGGAGGTGGGCCCATCATGCCTGGAAGAGAAAAGCCCAAGAATGCAGCTCAACTGCCTATTTTTAAAAAGCTAGCAGGAAACATATAAAGTTGTCTACCAAGTTAGATGAACCATTCCATCCTCTCAGTCTGTTAAGTAAACTAGTCTTTAGCCAAAGAACTGGGGCTCCTAATGGCTCTTGTCCAGCTAATTCCCAGTTATCAGCCAGGCTGGATCTCAGAGTAATCCTGCTTAATTACACAAACTCATCATCAGTTTCAGTCATGGATGTATTTCATCATGAATCCAGCTAAAGCATCTTATTATTAATTAGCACTGGCCTCCTGTGAGGATATTCACCTGGAGGAGGTGCTCCTCGGCCCATAGGTGGGGGAGGACCTCCACGACCAGGTGGGTACTGAGTTGGGGCTCCTGCAATACTGGCTGTGGCTGCAGCTGCAGCAGCTGCAACAGTGCCTCTTCCTTGTGGTGTCATCACCTAAGAAAACACAAAAACACAAAAAGAATTACGTGAAATAGTACAGTCAGTACAGCTTCCTACTTTCCTCTCCAACTTGGCAAACCCTAAACACAAATCCTCCTAAAGCTACAACTCATGCCATCAGACTTCCTATGCAAAATCAAGTCTCAGAAAGCTTGAATGCCCAAGTTCCATCTTCTCAGTTTGACATTAATATTAAGGATGCCCAATCCAACTTAGGGAAACACTAAGACTGGTAAGATGTGAAAACATTTAGTGTTTTAAGCAATATTTTGCTTAAATTCATTTAACTAGAATGAACTTCTGTTCATCTCTTCACACAGAAACACCAACAGTCAGACAATTATGACTGGTCATTCCAGACTCTTCCTCAAGCTGTGGGCCCCACTCATCCCCCTCTCCCCATCCTCCCCAATCCTTGCCTCTATCCCTTTAGCTAGAAGCTGACAGCCTTCCCCCAATGCCTCACCTGCTGGGATGGCCCACCAACCCCACGCACTGGCCCAGCAAGTCCTGCAGGAGCCTGGGGCATGGGAACACCAGCTGGGATTCCTCTGCCAGCAGCCCTACCGATTCCTGGCCCTCCAGCAGCTCCAGCAAGTGGCACTCGAGCAATGCCAGTCTGAAAAAAATAAAGAAACATGCTAAAATGCTCAGTGACCTAGAGAATTAGAAGTATGCTACCAAAGAGCCACTTAGATTTAAAAAGCACTCAAACAGTTCATAAATACTATCTGCCCATATATACTACCATTGTCCTCCATGGAAGACTATGTACCTACCTTACCACCCCTTAAACAGACCAAAACTTAAGTCTAAGGAAACATGTCAGAACACAATATTTATATGCACTGCTATGAAAATAAAACCAAGAGCCAAGGCCCAGGACTCCATTCAGCATTGACCCAGCAACAGACGGACACGAGATGCAGTCCTAGTTTCTCCCTTGCTAAGTGATGGTGGGAAAATAACCTCTTACAATCCCCTGGAACCAGAATTATTGATTGTTGTTAGTTATATGGGTGCTGGGAACCAAACCTGGGTCCTCTTCAAGAGCAGTCAGTGGCCTTAACACATAAGCCACCTCTCCAGTCCCTGATTAGCTTCTTTAAAACTCAGCTCTCTATTTACAAACACAGATTAGTGTTTATAGAACCAAGGTTACCTGTGCTCAAATGTCAGGTTCGCTAGCTGTGACATCTTACGGGAGCTAATACACTCCAGTTTATTTCATCTATAAAGTGAAGCTGTCTCGCCGGGTGTGGTGGCGCACGCCTGTAGTCTCAGCACTTGGGAGGCAAAGGCAGGCGTATCTCTGTGAGTTCAAGGCCAGCCTGGTCTACATAGTGAGTTCCAGGACAGCTGGGACTACAGGGAGACCCTGCTTCAAAAAGACAAAAAAAAAAAAAAAAGTGAGGCTGTCTCAAAAACATAAAAAACTCTAAAATGAATAAAATCCTGACTGAGGTCCTTATTCTGTAAAAAAAAGTTTTAACTTTTTAAAAGGTTATCCAAATGGTCTCAGGTACCTCCCCCACTGATCAGACTCTGGATAAACTAAGAAAGAAGGGTTATGTCACAAGTTCTAATGCTCTCTTCAGTTACTTGGAGGGTAGCTGCTTTAGGAGTCTATTTATTATCTATAAAGGGATGCACAGCCAGAGTATACCTGTGAAGAATGCAGTAATCGCAGACCAACTATCACAGTACCTGGCTCTCAGGAGCCCCCCCCACTTCCTCAGGTATCCAACTGGGACTTACGTCTTTGGGAGGCGGTCCTTCTACTGTCATAGAGACCAGGTTCTCCCCTCGAAGTAACACCAAACCAAGGACTCGCTTCTCTTCCCTTTCTGCTTGTTTGGAGTTCTTTGGCCTAAAGACAAATTTAGAAGAGGGGAAATTAAGTGTTAAGAAGATGGAGAGTTTAGGCCTACCTACCCAGGTAGCCTCAGATTTGCTTTATGCTGTATCTCCTGACAAATGGTACATAACCTTTCCAAAATAGGTCCTCGGAACAGTATCCCCAGGATAGACCCCTTACAGAGATAGATGCCTATTTTCTAGCAACCCAAGACTATGCAACTGAAAGCCCACCCTGGCTAAGATGCTTTCCACAGCCAACTGTAAATGCCTTTCCCTCAGTTTAGTTTGCTATTACTCCCTTCCCTCCCTTCAGCTTAAGATTTCATAAGCAAGAAGCAAGCTAAACAATTCCTCAAGGCAACTGAATGCCATTCACCCCACTTCTATAGTGTCCTAGGATCAAGTGAACCCCAAGGCCTCCTAAGATTCCACCCTTCACCTCACATCAGAACTAGAAATGACACAGGAAAAGAGAAATTTCACATACATAGAAGTTGAGTACACGCAGAAATTTCACATCTGTACCCCCAAAAGCACGAAACCAGAACCCCTCTCAAAAACAGCAGCAACCAGAAAAAGGTGAATGAAATGAAAATGTAAAGAAAAATAACAACAGTAAGATGGGAACAGGGAGTCAAAGCCATGATCCTCAGAGCAAAGACAAAGTACCCTGACTTGGTGATCCTCAGAGCAAGGACAAAGTACCCTGACTTGGTGATCCTCAGAGCAAGGACAAAGTACCCTGACTTGGTGATCCTCAGAGCAAGGACAAAGTACCCTGACTTGGTGATCCTCAGAGCAAGGACAAAGTACCCTGACTTGGTGATCCTCAGAGCAAGGACAAAGTACCCTGACTTGGTGATCCTCAGATAAAGACAAAGTACCCTGACTTGGTGATCCTCAGAGCAAGGACAAAGTACCCTGACTTGGTGATCCTCAGAGCAAGGACAAAGTACCCTGACTTGGTGATCCTCAGAGCAAGGACAAAGTACCCTGACTTGGTGATCCTCAGAGCAAGGACAAAGTACCCTGACTTGGTGATCCTCAGAGCAAGGACAAAGTACCCTGACTTGGTGATCCTCAGAGCAAGGACAAAGTACCCTGACTTGGTGATCCTCAGAGCAAGGACAAAGTACCCTGACTTGGTGATCCTCAGAGCAAGGACAAAGTACCCTGACTTGGTGATCCTCAGAGCAAGGACAAAGTACCCTGACTTGGTGATCCTCAGAGCAAGGACAAAGTACCCTGACTTGGTGATCCTCAGAGCAAGGACAAAGTACCCTGACTTGGTGATCCTCAGAGCAAGGACAAAGTACCCTGACTTGGTGATCCTCAGATAAAGACAAAGTGCCCTGACTTGGTGATCCTCAGAGAAAAGACAAAGTGCCCTGACTTGGTACTCTCTATTTACTAAATCTCAGCAGGTCAACACTTGCCTTTTCAACTCATACTGGCCGATTTTTTAAGATAAGTCTGTTACCTTTTCAAAATGAAAAAACGGGGTGGGAATTTCATTTTTTTTCTCATTAATCTCATTTTAAAAAGTATTTTCCAACTTTTTAAAATCAAAACTCAGTTTTATTTTTAAAAACAGAAGCTCCACACTGATCATCAGCTGGTCTCTTATCTAACAAGTACCAGGCACTCAGCCATCTCTGCATTTTTTTTCTTGACCTTGGGCCACAAAAGAAAACAATCTCAAAAAGAATAGAGGGAATTCAGCTGATAACATATGAATGCTGCATATGGTGACAAAGTTACATAACCCTGTTAAGCCTCAAGATGTCCTGAATATAAAGGACAGGGGTTGACTACACTGTTTAATAAGCCAGAAGTTTAAGATAAGTGAGACTTAGGAGTCAGCCGAAAACATGGAATTGCAGCAAAGCAGAAAATATCTCTAATTGCTTATAAAATGCCAACAAAAATGACTGGCCCCAAAGCCACATGGGGAGCAGAGCACTTACCCTGAAGAGGGTCAGAGGCTTCTTAAAGCAGTTTCAGACCAGGCTGCATTAGGAGAGCCCTTTACAGCTTTACAAATAGGTAATGAGGCCAGAAAATCAAGCTCTCCCCCCTCACACACCTGTGGGGAGAACATGAGAGCCCTTTACCCCAGTACCTGGGGGCAAGCAAAGTCAAGAGAAATCAAAAGCCTGGCAGCCCTCTTCACCAACTTTCACTGTGCTAGAACTAGACAGCAAAGTTTGCTAACCTAACGAAGACTTCTTAGCAGTCAATGTCCCCATTTAAGTTATTCCCCTCAAAAGCAGAAAAGCAAACAGAGAAGAACCAACTAGCTGCAACCCCACTTGTCACTTGGCCCACCCACCCAATCCATTCCCCTCTGCCCATTCCTTCTCCCTCCCAACAGCCCTCTCCTTACTTGATCTTCCTGAACTCATCACAGTCACAGAGGATCAAATTCATATGCTTGTCAAAAGCTTTGAAGGTCCCAATGAAGATCCGGCCATCTTGCAGGATGCATCTCATCCTGTAGTCAATGTGCTGCAACATCTTGCTGCTCTTGCCCACAGTCTACAAAAACATCAGCGGGGATGCGGCTCAGTTCTTTCACTCACACACTTCTGGTGCTATCCAAAATCTCCCAGCAGTCCGATTTATGTGTTTATCTTTCTCAGTAATTTTCAGCTGTTCCACCCAAAGTCCCCTTCTGGGAATCTTCTTGTATCACCCTATCAGCCCTGACTTTTGCCCAATAATCTTCTAGTCTCCCTTCCCTTAAAAAAACACACACGCAGCTGGGTATAGTGGCACAGGAGCCTTTAACCCAGCACCTGGGAGACAGAAGCAGACAGATCTCTGTGTGTTTGAGGCTAGCCTGCTCCACATAGCGAGTTCCAGGCCAGCCAGGACTACAAGGAGACCCTGTCTCAAACGTACCAAATAAATAAATAAATAACCCTCAGATTATAATTGCCTTTGATATGTTATATCTGTCTCAGAAGAGACTGTAAAGTGTCCAAAAATTAATCAAATCCACCTATACTAGAGATTAAGTTATCCAGCACTTAAGAATGGGAATTCAACTGGTTCTAAAAATCCAATCACGGGCTAGAGAGAGATGGCTCAGGAGTTAAGAGCACTAGCTGCTCTTGCAGAAGACCTGGGTTCGAATTCCAGCACCCACGTGGCAGCTAAAAGTTGTCGTCTAACTCCAGTTCCAGGGGACCCAACACCCTCTTCTGTCCTCCGAAGGCATTGCACAACATGGGTGCACTTATATACATGCAAGCATAACACTCATACACATAAAATAAAAAATAACTTAAAAAATACAATCAAGGAAAAACTTATTACCAGAAAGGAGTTAATCAGCTTTGAAGCAAAAATGAAATCCTCAAATCAAGAATTTGTTAGTGTGCCTCCAAGGTTTTTTTGATGAGGGAAATTTCTGGTGGTCTGAATGCTAATTAGTTTCAACACCTAACAGTCTAGTATATAACTTGCTGTTACCCTTAATTCTTTTTTAAAAGATTTTATTTATTATTTTTATTTTTTGTGTATGTGTCAGATTCCCCTGGAACTGGAGTTACAAACAGTTGTTAGCTGTCATGTGGGTGCTGGGAATCAAACCTGGGTCCTTTACAAGAGCAGTCAGTGTTCTTAAACCACTGAGCCATCTCTCTAGCCCTTAATTCTTAATTAACCCAACAATACTCTCTATACTTGTTTCCAAAGCTTTGCCAAACAAAGAGACTATATACATCACTAGGTAAACTGTTAGGTGCCCTTGGCAGTATCACTTAGAAAGATCACCTAGCCATTTCATCATTGCCACTCCAATTTTCCAAGTGCCTTATCTGTACCATGCACTGTGACAGACTGTGTGAATTGCAGGAGAGCCCTAAGTTTCTTTAGAGGAAGCCATTAAAACTAAATTTCTTAAAGTGGCTAACTGGCCCTAAACTGGGCCTTCCTCAAGTCTTACCAACTGGTCACTCCCTAGACTAAGAGAGAGCTTATGGAGCCAAAGTGTCTCCTTTAGTGCCATAGATAACTCATCTGCCCTGCCTGAGAAATAACCTTGAAAGAAGACCTTCAGTCACCCCAAGGACATCAGACCCTGGCACTGTGTAAACTCCTGCAAGCTACAGCTGTATCTGGTAGCTTTCTCATAAAAACCTCAAGGTCTCTTCCCTGGGTTGCAGATGCCAGGTTCTGCGGCAGCCTCTGCCCCTCACACTACGGCTTCTAATAAAGACATAGTCCTTGCCTATGGCAAGTCTGGCTCTGGTTCTTATTTCTTATAAATTCCTTTTTCGGCTGTCCTAAATCTAACACACTGTGATTGCTGTTCATGTCTATGAGAATGAGATGAACCCTACCCCTACCCTATCCTGAAGACCCAAATTATGTTTCCTGTTTAGCCAATCTTTTTAAAGGGCTTCTGTTCATGGAGATCAACATTCATCCGTTCACTTGCTAGGTAATAGCTAAGACTCTATTGGGTACTCCGTGTGTGGTCAGGCCCATGAAGAAAGTTTTGTGTATTTCATTTAATCCTCAAAAACCGGGCTGACGTTCCTATTTTACTGATAAAATGGGCCACTGGCTAAAATGATCAAGTAACAGCTTGTCCCAGTCAATTCTTAAAATGATATCCTATTTCCCTACAACTGGAGTGATGTTTTGCAGGTATTTTGAGGAAAGTTCTTGCCATGTAGCCAAAACTGACATCAAACTCGGTATCATCCTGCCTCTTCCTACTAAGAGGTAAGTACTGAGATTACAAACTGAGATTACAGCACAGGCCTCTTCCCTTGGCTGACCTTTCCAAACCAAGTTCATGTCATTAGGCTTATGAAAAAAATCTTTCAATGATATACCTCACTACCAACAGGATAATGTGAAAAGCAAGACTTCAGCGATCAGGTTCCTGGCGATTTCTCTTCATCTACTTTTCCTTCCAGCAATTTTCACTGAGCTGCCCCTCAAGTCTGCTTCACAGTTCCCCAGATTTGGAACACTCCCTCCCATTGGGAGGGTGAGCTCCTAACTTTTGGTATTTCGCTCTGGGCCCATCTACTGGAGAAAGCGTTCTCGCCCCGCCCCCTGCCGTTACTTTTGGTTAATGCTGAATTACCAAACTGGATTAAATTAGCCCTATCGGAGCTAGAAATAGAACTAGAACCTGAACTAGGTGAGGACAGAACATATTCATGGTATAGCGCCAGCGCCTGGATACCTTAACACAAAAATAAGCTTAACAGTCGAATTTTCCTAGCATTCTCATCCACTCGGCTCCGAAGATTCCAGTTTCGGGCCGTAAGCCCTCGCTACCCCCGATCTCGCGCACTTCACTCGTCTAAGCCGTTTACCCGGTGCTCCCAGGTCGTCTTGAGGCTCTGCAGTCCCGGGCATACATTTACTCTGCAAAAGTTTACTCAGCTCCCGGGACCGCGGCATTATTACCACTGTATTCGGGAGTCGCAGCTCTACTCTCGCCAAACCCACGCAACCCATCTCTGTGCCCTGGTCCGGCCTTCCCTCTCTCTCCGGGCCAAGCCGAACCGCCAAGGACTAAGTAGCGGCGGCGCGGGCCTTCCCGGTCACAAGAGGCTCCAGCTCACGGACGCCGCCATCCATGGCCTCCATCCAAAAAGCCTCAGTCCAAGACAGCCTCGGAGCGCCCTGAGGCCTGTCCGCCCCCTCTCACCATGGTGGCGGCTCCGATGGCTCCGATTCCCGCCGGATTCGCCTCCACAGAGGCCTAGACGCCAGCCAGCAGCAGAATTCCCGCCGCCGCCAACGGAAATGCAATCTACAAAATGCCGACCCGGAATGAAGCTACTTCCGGTCTGGGCCTAGACGCTTAAGTTCCGGCCGGGGATGCAACTGGCGAATAAGGACCGACAGGACGGGGCGGGGCTAAAGTAAGGGGCGGTTTGGTTTGGTTTTCATTGGGGTTTTGTTTCGTTTTGGTTTTGGTTCTGGTTTTAGGGTCTTCCAGGCTGGCCTTGACAAGCTCCGGATCCTCCTACCACAGCGTCTTGGTGCCAGGATTATTGACGTATGCGTCATGCCTGGCAAGCATCCGACGCTGACCGCCTCCAAGTCTGCATCCTGTTTGGACGTCCGCTTTCCTAACAGTCTCTGCTGGAGGGCTGGGCTTACACGCTCGCTGTCCCCACTCCCGCTCCCGCCACCTCTGGGGTCTCACCCTCCCACCTCTCGTGGACTCACCAAGAAGCCACTGTTCTTCCTTTTCTCTTGACATGCTCTTCTCTTAGCATCTTTGTGGGGACGCGTTCACCTTAAACTGAAGAGGTGGCTCCAGATAGGAGCACTTGCTGTTCTTCAGAGGACTCGGATTCAACTCCCAGCACCCACATGGCGGGTCTGTCGTCCTCTTCTGGCCTTTACACTACACAGACACACACACACACACACACACACACACACCAGTAAGCATACAGGCAATCAAAACACCTGTATAAAGTTTTTTTTTTTTCTTTTGCCTTTGTGAGACAGGGTCCCCCTGTGGTCCCAGCTGGCCTGGAACTCTCTTTGTAGACCAGGCTAGGCTCGAACTCACAGAGATCCGCCTGCCTCTGCTTCCCGAGTGCTGGGACAATAGGCGTGCGGTGCCACGATTTAAGCTGAAATAACACGTTCCCTGTGAGGACTTTCCTGACCATTCTGTTTTTTTAAAAACTGCAACTTTCCCACCCACTTCTGCTTGGTTATTTTTCTCATTATTTATGGATTGCTGACTAACGTGGTGAGCCGTGGTATCCACACCCCTCTCCCGCACCCAACTTTCTAAGGAATGCCTTCCAAGGCTCCCAGAGTTGCCTAAAACCACAGGTAGTACCAAACGCTTTTTCCTACATATGTATACTTGTGATAAACGTTCACCTTTTCACTTAACGGAAGCCTGTTTTGACATACTCAAATTGCCAGTATCAGTACTCATGTACTTTTGGACCCTTAAGTAAAATAAGGTCTACCTCAAAACAAGCACTGCAATAGCCAACCTGTGAGTACTAAGTGAGACGCAACACAGTGTGGACTCGGACAAAGTGATGATTTGTGGCTAATGCTAGAGCATAGTATTTCATCATGCTACTCAGAAAGGCACAAAATTTAAAACATGAATTGCTTATTTCTGGAATTTTCCATTTAATATTTTCAGACTGATAGACCAAAGGTAATTAAAATGATTTGGGATCAAAGAGGACTACCGCGTATATTTTTTAAATATTTTTTTAAGTCTTTTGGAGACAGAGTCTCCCTGTAGCCACAGCTGGCCAAGATTCACAATTTAGACCAGGCTGGCCTCAAACTCACAGAGATCTGCCTACCTCTGCCTCCCCAGTGCTGTGGTTAAAGGTGTTCACCACGCCCAGCTGTATTTTTTAATTATTTTTTTACCTTTTCCCCACTCTTAGTGGGGAGAATCTCCAGGAGGGTATGGATTTTTCTTTGTATACTGTTCATTGCTGTGATGCTTAGATCACTGCTTAGCATTTAAAAAGCTCAATAAATATTTTTTGAATGAATTAATTATTTCATTCAGTCTCATGACTTTTAATTATTGCCTATATGCCCAGGACTTTCTAATTTATTCTTCTAACCTTGGTCTTTTCTAACTTTTGGTTTTCATATCAAGCCACTTGTTTAACATAACTAACAGGTATACTAAATTTAACATGTTGAAAACTGAATTGTGATGTTATTACTCTTCTTCCTGAAGCCACTTCTCTGTCAGTTCTCCATCTCAGAAGTTTTGTTGGGTTAATAAAAAACCAAAGAATGGTAATAGGGGTGTGGCTCAGTTGGTAGAGTGCTTATGTAGCAGGCAAAGCTCCAGGTTCAATGCCCAGCACCACATAAACCAGGAGTGGTGACACATGCCTATAACCCTAGAACTCGGAAGGTAAGGCAGGTGGATCAGGAATTGAAGACCAGCCTGGGCTACACTAGCTCTTGTCTCAAAAAATAAATAAAGAACATGAAACATAGTTAATTCCTCTTTCATAATCAACCTGTCGGCAGATGCTATGAACCCTACGTTCAAGTTTTCTTTTTCACAGAGCTGACCTGGAACTCTCTATGTAGACCAGTCTGGCCACAATCTCCCAGTGGTCCACCTACCTCTGCCTCCTGAGTGCTGTGACAAAGAGTGTGTGCCACCACGCCCACTCAGATTATCTTGAATATGACCATTGCCACTTGTCCCATTGCTGCCTCTCCTTGTTCTAGCCACCAGCCTGGACTGAGGAACGAGTCTCTAATTGTTCTCTTTGCCCGCCCCCGCCCTGTTCTCACTGCAGTGAAGGGTCTTCTAAAATATATTAGGGTTCTCTCAGATGGCATATTCAAGCACTCATGGAATAAAATCCAGCCTGTACTCCTCTTTAACCTCATCCCCTTCAACACTGGTTCATCCATCAGCCTCAGAAGGTCTGGTGTCCTATCTTATTGTAGGGTAACTATGCTATAGTCCAGGAAGCTCAAATAAAGAATTCTTAATGTCTTTACTGTAAAGAAATGATAGGGGGCAGGAGAGATGGCTCAGTGGTTAAGAGCACTGACTGCTCTTGCAGAGGACCTGGGTTCAGTTCCTAGTACCCACATGGCAGCTACGAACCGTCCTTAACTCCAGTTCCAGGGGAATCCAAAGCCCTCTTCTGACCTCCGAGGCATTGCACGACATGGGTGCACTCACATACATGCAGGCAATACACTCATACACATAAAATAAAAATTAAAAAAGAAATGATAGATGTTTGTAAAGATAGAATGTTAAATCTGCTTTAACATTGCACAATGGATATATATATATATATCAAAACATCACATGATACCCTGTAAATATGTACAGTTAAAAAAATGAATAGTAAAAATCTATGTTTACTTTGAGTACATCAGAAATACATGTACAAATGTCTAAAAGTTAGAGTAGCACATGTGTGCTTAT